CTTCCGTCTAGTCTTACACTGCTAAATTAGGGACGGCTAGCGCAGATAGCCCTCGTGTAGCTTTGCGAGAAATTCAAAAACACACACACTTTCTCAATACACTTAATTTCCACAGTCACTTTAACTTAAACACACGCTATAATTCACAACGATTCACGCACTTTACTTACGGTCACTACCGTGCTAGACTCAATTGTCCGTCTCTGTCTGTTTGCAATTATCTATCCCGTCACTTTATTTGCCGGCTTATATACTATAAGAGCGCGTGTCTAGCAAACACTCAAGCCTTCAGGAACGTTCGAGATACTCATTATGTGTTACCAGCGTCATGTGACTCCCGCTGTCGTAACAGAATATATACAAACTAAACCTCAGGAGACAGCCGATACATTGTCTCACCTGGAAAGTTTCTGCCCAAGCGTTCCTGCTATCAATTGGTTTAGTAAAATGCTACACAGTGGGTTATCTGCGCTCTGTTCATCAGGAATCGAACCTAGGATTTTAACATTGTGAATCCGTTAAACTGCTGCTGACCTACTAGGTAACGTTTGTTGTAAGACTTAAACGTTGCTCCACATAATGGTAGCCATAAAAAAAAAAACACCAATTGCACGTCCACCTGAAATATCGGTCAATAAATGATTTCCTTCACTTCTAACTAATTTCCTCGAGAGAGAGAGAGAAAACAAAATTTTAGAAACTGCCTTTGTTGTGATATCATATTATAATTAAACTAATTAATGCCTACATGTATCTGTTTAACCCAATGAAAGTTAATTAATTTACGAGTTCAATGTTTTTTCTTAGATTTAATTAGTAACATGAGTTGCAGTATTATATAAGACATTTTTTACTCTAATTTTGCTTCTAACGTTACGAAATATTATACTTTAACGTCAGCATCTGTTATTATTTGTACCTTTACATTTAGCATAGAATTCAACTACCACAACTCAAAAGCTTTTGCAAATGTGCTATAAGTCGTTTTTTTTAGTTCTTTATTGCATAAAGCACTTGTATTTTTTTATAGTTCCGATTTCGTATTTTTCTTAATTTTATAAAATTGCAACAATATTATGAAACACTTTTTGTAACCATTAAATGACAAAATAAATAGTTTTTTTTTTTAATTGGATAACTCAAGAAAATAAGTTAGTAAATATGTTTATTAAGTTTTATAGCCTATACAATTTTATTTATACTAGCAGAAATATCCGCCCGCCGGGCAGCTATAACTGCTAGTTCCTGCGGAAGGCTATTGGACCTGTGGCCTTTTTTGGAATTGTCTGACAGTTCTACAACAACGTATTCAAATTTGATATTTAATAATGTTCACCATCCATGAGGAAAGGGATTTTATTGAAATTTTAGTTACAAAATGAGCTATCACCACAGCATTACATCACAGAGTAGATTTTTAATGGCTGGAGTAGATTTTTATTGAAGTATTTCTGTTAGCCCATTGTGTAACTCTGCGCTTAGAACAAACAAACTGAACCTATACTGGATTACTTTCAACACTGTGTGATGGATGAATAATAATAAAAGTTATTAAACTAAATATATTTAATGAAGTTCTTAGACATAATCAAAACTCTTTCCCTAATTTTCTAAGTCTAATATATATCTACAATGGCATTTATTTCTCCATAATATTCACATTTGGAATTACATTACCAATATTTAAAAAGAAGCGTATTGGATCATTAGTAAAGCCAAATTTCAATAAAAATTACATGTATGAGTAATAGAAGCTATATTCAGAATATTTTATATTTTTTCTGCCCAAAATATTTCCTTGCCTTGATGTGTTTGCTTGTTATTAAGCGCAAAACTACATAATTGGAAATCTGTGCTGTGCTCACCATGGGTATCGAAACCTGGTTTTTAGCACTGAAAGCATGAAAACTTACCACTGAGTAACTGGGAGATGTTTCTTACTTATTTGAACAATTTATGAACTAAGTGCGACACTCTGTCAACGAAGTTCTGCTAAAAGCTGGAAACTCCAAATTCAGCTACAATGAAATACCTTTAACGGTAGATCTTTGAGGGCTATAACAAGTTCGAATAGAGGCTATTAACATTTACTGGGATTCGAGTCATGTTCTCTTTTATTGTGTCTGAAAGACTGTGACCTGCTAATATATAATCTAGATAATCTCAAAAACTATAATAAAGAACGTAGCACTGCCTATATATGTTTAGGCACATTTCAAAATTTTGCTAGAGTATCTGGAGATCTTCCACTATTAAATCTTATGCTCATGATTTGATTGTAGGATCACCTCTTACTTCCTCTCTTTTCCCCCATATTATCTGTTAACCAAGTAACATTCACAACTAAATAGAAATCAATGTATTGCTGCATAAAGTCTTAAAATTACTGTCAGCTAACGATGTGGCATTCTTTCTGATAATCTATATTAATTCATCATAGAATTTCACAAATGAGAGCAGCGGCATCACTAGGCACTGGTACACGGGGCCCGTGTCCCGAATCCCCAGTTGGTGTCTGGAAAAATCAGAATAGAAAACAGTATGAACGATATCATACTGAAACGCCGAAAATTTCAGCGCTTAAGGGCCCGAACCCCGAATCTTTTAAGCACCTAGTGATGCCTCTAACTAAGAGCACTTATTATTATTATTATTTTATTCTTGTTCTTAACCTTTTTTAGGGACCATTGGGATGTTTTATATAACACTGACTTAAAAAGATTTATTGTGTAATAATTTAGGACTTCGTAAATTTTAGGTTATTTATGCGTCTATAACACCGAGAGCTTCTGGAGTAACGTTTAAACATAATATTCACTAATAAATTAATTTCTTAGTTTAATAAGTAATAATGCATTTATTCATTTTAGTATTATAAATATATTTATTTGAGTTATTAGTTATATCACCAGAGGGTCCTAATTGCAGATAAACTTTCGTAGTAAACATGCCGATTATACTAAAAGACAATGAAATTCAGTGGACAGAAACAATCTCAACAATTGCTATTTTAGTTCCACTTAGGGGAGTGAATAAAAAAAATGTATATGTGTTTTCATCTAGCAGATATTTGAAAGTAAGGAACTTTTTATGCGTAAATAAATAATTGAGAATAAAGCATTATCATGGTGCACCACAATTTTGATGTCATTTGGCGCAGTATCGTAGCTCCAGTAGAAAGTTCCTAGCATGGCACGAACAAGTGTTTGGGTTATTATTATATCATATATGCTAGGAACATATGCTTCGTCTTTGCAACATGATCTGACGCACAGTTTAAACCCTTTTCCTGGACATGGTTATTTAATGTTAATTATTATATATTGACATAGTCACAGTATAAAATATTAGATTTAGAGTATGTTAAGGAAACTAGAAGTTTATGTAAATAAAATTTTAGTATTATTAGAAAAGTATGCTTATACAAACATTTTAAAAACTTCTTTTTTTTTTAAGTGTTCATGAACTTACCTGGTATTTGAAATATTATTTCATTATATTAAAATATTTGCACATTGGATCCCCATTAAGTTTCCAACATCACAGAACTGTATTATAAAACTGTTTTGAGTGTTGCTAGTTTAAAGATTTTTTTATTCCCAGTCTACCAAACAGTGATGATACACCATGATAAAGCTGCAGGCATCTTTGCTATGATAGAAGAGATGAACGTAATGTAATGGAACACATTAGTACTAAAATGAGTTTATTAATAATTTAATATGAATGTTTGATCAGTATATGTAAGCAACAACAAAACTTTTAAAAACTGGAGCATTTTGTTTTGTGATAAATCATGTTGTGATTGATTGCTAAATATAATCTGGTCAGGGTATTCTTATTAAAATGTAGATAGAACATTGACCAACAATCATTATGGTGATTTTGCACCTTTTAGATTGTCACAATCATGCTACGACTCTTTTTGTATGGAATCATAAGTATGAAGATTTTGCTATGTATGAAATTACTGCTTTTTAATGCTTCAAATGAAGTACGTTATGAGAAACCTGACATATCAGCTTAACATATACTAGTTCAATGTAATAAAAAAAAATCACTAATTCTACAGAAAAATGATCAATCATGGGCATCACCAGGATTTTCTTGCACCTTTCTTGGATATGTTTACAGATATGTGTGTGTTTATACATGTGTATATGTAAAACTGCATGTTATGATAGGAACTTGATGATGAACAAGCTATGTTTAAATAAATATTCATGCAGGTTTTAAAAATGAACCGGATACTTTCTGCTTATTGCTTAATCAAAGTTTATGTGCACATCACAATTTCCCTTTCTAGTAATTTTGCACGTTATTATGTAATATGAGGTAGTCAAACAGGGTTGAGTACATAATATTAAAACAGTTTTGAACATGCAAATCATTAAACTTTGGTGACATTAAGAGTTGATAATCATGGTGGAATGGAATGTATCAGAACTACATTTTCACATTGTTTAGTATTTGTAATTAGTGTGATGTTGTTGAAAATTGATTGCTTTTGGGAAGGGTATATAACAGCTTTTTCCAATGCAAAATAGTCATATACTCAGACTATAAAGATGTGTTCAGTTGGAGATTTAGAGATTCCAAAATGGGAATATCCCTTGTACTTAAAGAATTGGAATTCCAAGAAATATGGATGAACTTAGGTAACCAGGACCATCTATAAAAAGACATGTAAAAAGTCATATCTGAGATGTGATAAGTAAAGTCAGTGTTTTGTGTCAAGTGAAAATCTACAAACACAAAGGTCAATGGCAAAAGCTGTCCATGAAAGAAAAAAAAATCTTTATCTGGAAAAGGAACACGTCACACATACACAAGTTGCTTCCACAGCATATCATATCAACCATCACATACCTCAAGCAGCTGGAGAATGAAATCGATATTCATGCTGTTACATACAAAGACATACCTATGAAGGTGCTGAATGTAGCACCAATGGATTTATGTGTGATTGGACTATTGTACTCATACACTAGGTGGATTATGGAAAGACTGCAGGGAAGAATGATGTTCCTTGAACATGACATTCTTATGTTGGAGCATTTTGCAATGTAAGCTAAGTTGTAGGGCTGTTGTCAAGATGCACAGCTGTCAGATAAAATATGATCATATGTGGTGACATGAACAAACAGCCACAGACTTCTGAAGTCAGTACTGTGTAGAATGGTATGGTGCTTGATCATTCACATTATACTGAGAAGTGGGACTGTTGGTCATTTGATATGTTTGAATACATTATGGTTATGTTAATGATATTAGTTTCAATGTTAACCTATAAACAGATATGGTGACTTAAGGAACCACTCCTTATTATCCAATAACAATGAATAGATTTTTAAATCATAATAGTACAAGCACCATACCAATAGTTCAATAGTTAAAGAAGGACAAATGTGAACTCTGCCTCAGAACCGCATTTATGAACATAAGAAAGTAACGAATTTCAGAAAGTTAATGAGCACAGCATCTGTATGAAATCATTTTACAATATTACAACCTGAAAGTTGAAATTATAATGTTTAACAACAACCTTGTACTTACACTTCTAAAGTCTGTGACAATGACAAGTCACCATTTCAGCTTTATTTTCCCAGAATCAAGTAGGTTACAATGTATACTGGCAGATTATCCTGACTCTTCTTCAGTTTAACACCTGAATCAAATTCCTTGTAATTTCCCTGTATTCTTAAGAGAATGTCTTCAGATGTTAAAGTTGGCTTCATAAGAAGGAGTATAATTTGGTTGCCCAATTCTAAAGTGCAGGATATTATAGAGCATATTCACAGCTTTAGGTCTCTATCATTATTACAAGAAGACTTACTTAATAAGTATGAATAACTCCTATAGAGGTTTAGAGATAGAAATAGACATGTAGCCCTATAGAAGAGTGCTTCCTCGAGTCAGAAGCAGGAATGAATTACTTAAGAGGATCTAAGTCTCAAATGAAACATTATCAGGGTTATGCTTAGAATTGGTAGTATCCGTCGGATAGTTTTCAGGGTAAGGGTGAATTATATGCAAGAGATGCACTCCCCTTAAGCAAGTTAAATAGTAGGATGTTTAGGGCAACCCAAGGTTTGGTTTGTTTGGAAGTTTGCACAAAACTACATGAGGGTTATCTGTGCTAGCTGTCCTTAATTTAGCAGTGAAAGACTAGAGGGAAGGCAGCTAGTCATCACCACCAACTCTTGGGCTACTCTTTTGGGATTGATCATCACAGTATAATGCTCCCACGACTGAACGGGTCAGCATGTTTGGTGGGACGGGGATTTAAACCTGCAGATTGTGAGTCGAGCACCCTAACCACCTGGTCATGCCAGGCCTGCAATCCCAAGGTACCATAGTGGTGAGAGAGTTTGGAGAATTGGGAGTAAACAAATTAATAGGATAACTAAGACAACAAGGAATTTTGTAAAAGGATATTTGAAAGTGTAATACACTAACTAATAGCATGGCCAGGTGGTAAGGGTACTCGACTCTCAGTCTGAGGGTCGCGGGTTTGAATCCCCGTCCCACCAAACATGGTAAAAGAGTAGCCCAAGAGTTGGCGGTGGGTGGTGATGATTAGCTGCCTTTCCTCTAGTCTTACACTGCTAAATTATGGATGGCTAGTGCAGATAGCCCTCGTGTAGCTTTGTACGAAAGTCAAAAACAAACTAACTATCTAATAGTTTTAAAGCCTGTCAGGTTTAAAGAAAAATGTAGTAGGATCAAGAATAAATGTAATTATTTTTGTTACGATGCTGGAGATATTAACAAAACAGAAAAATACAGGCTATATTTGAAATGGAAGACTATGATATAAGGGAAATTTATGAGACTTTGTTAGATTTGGAGAATATTTATAGTAGGAATTAGTTTTTAATTTTGGGTTATGATACCATTTAGTAGTTATACTTTTTAAGAGAGAGGATGAACTGTAGCCTGTTAAGATTGAAGACATAAGAAAAAATGTTAGTTAAGAGGTTGAATTTTTAGAGGTTACACTCATGGGTTCAAAGGGTAGAAAGTTTTAATTGACAATTGTTATAGGCCATCTGATCAAGGTAGCTACTAATAAGAACACTTACTTAATAATTATGAGAGACTTTAAATTTAGACGTATTGATTGGGGTTATATGGCATCAAATAGCAAAGAAGGGAGATTTCTTGAAATGATTCAGGATGGTTCTCTATACCAAATGGTCAAAGAGACAACCAGGAGGGTGATGCCATTTTACATTTATTGTTAACCACAAATGAGGGTGTGGTTGTAAGAGAGTGATAATTGAATATTTAGGTTTGATGTATTACTAAATGTTGAGATAAAAATAAATTTTGGTTCCTAATTTTCAGGGAGCCAATTTTAAGCCATAACAAAAGATTTGTTATTATTGAATTGGGATCATTAATTAAAAGATGATGGGGAACAAATTTGGGAATTTTTAAAAATAACTTCCTTTTAATTCAATACAAGCATGTTTTCCTAAAAATAAGAAAATAATAACAGGGAATATCAAACCTAATTGGCTTATTAAAGACATGAAAGAGAAAGTCAGGGATAAATAAGCTTGAGAAATTTAAATTGACAGATGATTTGAAGATTTAAATATGTTGAAGGTAAGCAAAATGTAAAAGTTTGGATAGGGCTTTTAAAGGATGTTGATGGAAAAGTTATTGTTGAACATTTTATGAAATGGATAAACTTTTAAACATTTTATTATTTTTACGAGTAACGTTTTGCATTATCTTAATATTGCAGGGTTTTATTTTTATAATTTAACTTTCTTTTTAGTTTAGCTTACAGGGGGGTGGGTTCACACTGGACTAGTAAGGAAAACAACAAAGGTTTCCTTAGTCATCTATTACTGATTCAACACAATATTGTGTTTGTGCATCATTTTCATTTACCTTAATAAAAATTGTTGGTTTGAATTTTACCGTAGAGACTATCTTTTTTTGTAGACAGACTCAGACAGAGTCCAAAAAGTAAACATCTGTACTTCATAATATATCTGTTGAACCTCCTTTTTATCAGATCCTATTCTGGATCTGTGAGAAATCCGTGAACCAAAATATTTAAACTATTGGGTATTTTTAGTTATATTAAAGACATTAAATTACTACAGAATGACTTGGATTAATTAGTAAGTTGGATAAATATTTTGCAAACGACCTTTAATTACAGTAAGTGTAAGGTAATGCATTTAGAATGTTATAGTTTGGATCAAACATTTAATATAGATGGAAATCAACTTAATAGCATGATTAAAGAAAAGGATCATGGCATAGTGATGAAACAAAACTGAATTTATACTATTACAAAAGGGAATTAACAAAAGTTTTATATAAAACCATTGTATATAAAGTATTTGAAATAATTATGGAAACACACAAGTAATAGCACATACAGTAGTCATAAACAATGAGTAAAAGTAAATACAGTGTAGCTGGTGAATGTATTAATAATACAAAACATTCCCACAGATAAAAAAGGTTCTATAGTGCACTAGTTATTTGTATGTGAGAACTTTGCTTTATACAGAGCATTATATTTTGTTCTCTTGAAGCCTTTCAGTTTATCGATATATGACTATAGAATATTATTCCAAGTGTCCTGTATTACTCCCCACAAGTTAGCCAACTTTTTTGGATGCCTAATGACCTTTTCAGATTTTATATGAGCTTATAAAGCCTCCAGAAGATTTATTTTCAAACTTATTTTTTGCAGGCCAAGCCATTATTGTGAATGTTCTATTGATCTCTTTAATGTCAAGATATAATTTCACCATATTTATTGTATGCTTGCATGGTATCCACAGAATTTATTCCAAGTGGAGGCAAGCCATTACAGAGTGCAGGCCATTGCCTTGAAATTCGAATGCGATGCTCTGGCTGATGTGGTTTATTTCTGTACACCTAATTTTTTCATTTATATTTAACTAGTATTATTTTCTAATGCATTTTTTAATACTTTATTCAAATAAATTTTCTTCAGAAATTACTGGGAAAGGGGGGAAATGCCTATGTATGCTTGAAATCTTTGTTGGAAAATGAATTTCTGCCTCTCATGGAATGGCTTGATGAATCAGAATGAACTGCACCTGTCAACAGTCAGGGTGCCATCAATTTTGTCTAGATCACTAATGTTGTTGGCTAGCATGCTTCATTTCAGACTTTATATATTGACTATGATGATATTTTCCTCTCTGTCATTAGTTGTTGTCAAACAATTTGAACTTGCTATTTGTGGTCTGATACCCATTCCAACATTTTGATTTAGTTAACTCTTTTTTTTTTCAGCAGTTGTTTTCAAACAGCTTCATGTTTAATGAGACCACTTTGTTCTAATGTGTATCCTACTTTGAGGTAACATTCAACTCTTATTACAGAAAGGGCATTGGCAACATCTGCACTCGACCATTACCTGTCTTGTAAAGAACCTACTGTGAGATACTGAACATCACTTTTGAAGAGTCTTGATTTCAACCTTCACCACTTTCATGTACCCTCTTCAGTCTTACATACTGCTCCTAATGGAAAATGGAGTAAATATTTCTGATGAAGTATCCTTGACCAGCCAAAACTTTTTCTACAATCTTATCACGTGGTATTTCAGTCCTGGGAGTCATTATTGGATTTGCATTACTACTACTAATGGGCATACTATGATTACTTGTACATTTATAGGCTTTAAACTAGTATAACACTTTCTGATTGATTGGACAACAACCACTGATAATGTAAACTCTTAGCACATGACTCTATATTCTGGTGCCATTCATTTTTACATATTATAATGTTGTAATTACTACAGTATTTGCCTTTTATACCCTCTTTTCTTTACCATTTCCATACAAAAACAATATTTTCAGTACTATACATATTCATGTATTACATACACATCTTCCTACTCCTAACAGAGTGTTTTGAGTTAACCAAATGAAACATTTACCACTGTTAAACTTTTAAGGTACCTAATCAGTTTTCGGTAAGATCTTTTGGTTTAGCAGTATGTTATATATATTTAAAACATGTTGTTTTATATAAATGATTAATATGGTTTGTAGTAAGTGTAAAAACCATGAGAAGCTTACCAGGAACATTGAAAAGGCTTTAATTTATTATATTTAGGAGTTGAGAAAATGTTATGTGTTATTGCACTATTTTCTAGTAGAGTAATAATAATCTAACTCTGATTGTATTAACTGTAGGTGAACTATCCACCTTTTCTGTATGAATTATTCCTGAAGGCTCCGGTGGATTCAGGAAATAGTTCAGCTCAAATAGGAGATGGACGAGTGACTTTTAGGCTTGAAAAGAAAGAGTATGCAATATGGGGAGAACTGTCAGATCCAGAGGCAGGTAAGCATGGTATATAATTTAAACTAATGTTGATTGATTCAGTATTTTGCATATAAATTGCCACTTGCAAGTTTAAGTGAATTTTTAGAAAGAACTTAAAAAATTAAAGTTTTTAATTTATCACATTTAAATAGATTCTTAGCTACATTTGAAAGTTTCCAAGCTTGGTTGTTACATGGTGTACATTTTTTTAAAAGTATTTCCACTGAAAAGATGCATCATATACATTTATTTCACAAAACAAAACTCTCATTAGTTTTTAGTGTTCCTTTGGTAATTGTAAGTATTTTCAAACTATGTAAGTTTATCTAATAGTTATCATTTTAGTAACCCCCTTTTCCTTCCCAAATATAGTCCCTGAATATTCCCTAAGGCCTGAAAAGATTCCCATAAAAGATTCCCTCTCCAATGAACACCAACTTTGTTATTTTATTTGTTGATATATATTATGATAAAATCAGAGCATAATGTGTTTTGGTTTACCTACAATGTATTCATCACTCCAAATCATTTCATTAGGAAATTCAAAGGCTTATTGAATCTCCCATAGCAAAGGAAGAATTTAGACAGCAGCAAAGAAATGCAGCTTTAGAAGAAAATCAACAACAAACAGAAGAAGTTGCCAAACAAAAGTGTGTTGAGAAAAGAAAGAGAGAGAAGTTTTCTTTGCAACAGGAAATGATGGTTGGTCATATTTTATATGTAATATAAACTTGATAAGACATCATCTTAAATCTAAACCCTCTCTCTTGAATATCTTCAAGTATTACAAAAAAAATGTAGTTGAATTTATAAAGCTATTTAATATTTTTTACTTTAATCGCATTTGTACTATATGTAAATAAGTTAACAAGCTTTTTTTTATTTTAAGATTTCTAAAAATAGGCAAATTAAGTCTTCTTGTTTGTAAGCCAACATTGTTGGTTTTTATTTTGGTGGCTTTCTGTAAGAATTGTAGAAAATAAGTGAAGTTGTAATTCTAACTCTAACATTGAGTTACATGCATTTACAAAATGTATGACTGACTGTCACATTTACTGAGATATGATATGCTGTATCTGCATTATCCATACTTCTGCATAGTTTAACACATGTTTTTTTATTTGTTATAATAAAAGTACAATTTCAGGGCTAAAGTTTTACAAGCTTAAAATCAAAACCGTTGGTATAATACCTTAGTCGTTTGAAAAATAAAATACTTTTGATGTATTTGACCAAAAAAGAAAACTTTTTATTTTAATAGAAAAAGATTGTATTTTGTTTTTGTTAGATACATATATGCTTGGTTAGATCTATAAGTAGTTTGAGAAGTAATTGACAGGTGCATTTATTTCATAAACTTACATTCAGTTATTTTCTAATGTTTCTGAACAACAGAATTGAAAATTTGATATATGAGATTGATTTAAATAATTTATTGTTACTGATCATTCATAAAATTTAAATAGATATTTCTGATAACTAGTTAGATGAACTGGAGAGGAAACGTATAGAAGAGCTTAAAGAAAATGAACGTCTTCAGGTAACAAAGACTGTCGAGTTAATGGAGAGTGAGGTACAAAATTCTTCTTCCTCATCTGTGATTCAGAAATCCAACAAAAGTAAAAGGTAGAGTGGATTAAAATTAAAACATTTTCATGAGAACTTTTACAAGCAGTGATTTGGATTTGTACAAATGCTTAATTTGGGTTTTTTAGAGCAAAGCAGTGTGGTATTTTCAGGTGCACTGACTTCCCTTTAAGAGAAATCTGATAAAAGCCTCAAAATAACAGGAGGTTTCAAAAGAAAATGTATTATGAATTGAATATGATTTTACTGACCTTGATTGAGAAACTGGACAAAATTTATAACAAAGTGAAACAGTCATAACTTGACACTCAAAAACAAGTCAAAGATAAACAAGTGTATTTTGTGGTGACTTTACTGGAGAGCTTTTTATGAATCTAGATCTGTATCAAACTAATTGTAAATCTGTTCCAAACTGAATAAACATAGCATTATGTATATGAAACAATAATGTCATCCATCTCAGGGTAAAGTTGGCATCCATATGGTTGTTGATCATCCCCATCACAAATTAAGGAAGGTTGTATCCTCCAAGCATTAGCTGATCTGCCAGTGTCAAAGATCACTGTCTATTTCTACATAGTATGCTCCACTTTACAGGAATCTTTCCCCTGAAAAATGCATGCGACCCTAGTTGAATAACCCGATTCAGTAGGTAACTAGGGTGAAAGCAACTTAGTGGTTCCATTGACCAATAATGTGTATTTAAGACTATATGCACAGTATATGCAGACATTTTCTGAAACTTTATATTAAATAGGGGGGGGGGGACATGTAATGTGCTTGCACACCACTGCAGCTGTGATTTACATATAGTATCTCATCATAAATTCTGAAAGCACTGTCAGTTATGACTTATTATAATTGTACTCTGTGCCTAAATCTTGAACATACAGAGAACTGTGATTCATAACTTTAATACATTGTCATCAATAGCTTTTGGAACTGCTGATAGCCATAACTTAAAATAACGTATGATGTAATTTCAGGCTCTTCAGAATGTTAATGCCATAATTTATTCTTTATATTTTGGCATTTTAAAACTTACATTTACACGTGTCTGTCTTAGATTTTACCAATCGTTACTTATATTTTCACTGTATTCTTGCTCTGTAACATTGATAGAGTACTGGTAGCCATAAATTATGTTCCTTATTTCTGTAATGTTAATTGACAAATGAATTAACAGTTTGTGTTATCTTGTAATCATAACTAATCTGTGTTTACATTTATCTGAATAGTGCATCATCTGAAAGCAGAACTTGAGGACATTATTGTAAACTTGTATGATGGTTTTCATGAAATAATTTGTCCCTCTCTCTGTTAAGCAAAAACCAAAATAAGCCCACAAGTTCAGAACTTCCTCCTCCTCGTAATGCTGGCCACATTAAGGTGACGTTTACACAACGAGAATTTCCATCTGCAGCTCGAGAGTCTAAGCATGCTGAAGAACAAGAAGTAAGTCATAAGTACTACATGTTTTGTAATTGAAACGACCTCAGGTAAAGTTATAACATTTATGTTACTGTCTAACTATAAAGTCATGTAGCAGGATGGTACAGGTTTTACAGCCACAAAAAAAAAACTGTCTTTGAAGATACAAAATAAATTAAATGAATAACAAAGTTTTACTATAAATACTTAAAATATTAACAGTAATCAACTTAACCAAGTTAAATGTAATAAAAAGAAAAAAATTAATTTACTAAACATATTATGAACTGTGTGTAATACAATTAATCCTACTTTAATTATCCCCTACAAACATGGTCAATGACAGAGCCGGCAACTGGAAGTAATAAGTAAAGCTAGAATCTAAAAAGACAAATAGAAAGCACTCATGATATAATTTTTAATTGAATCAGTTCAGATATCATTTGAATAATAATACAGCCGAGTGTTTGTATATGTCAATATATTGAAAAACCTCAGTACAGATTTAGGTGTATTACTTAACCCTTTATCATCCCTGGAAGGTTTTTTTTTCATTACCGTAATTGGCGTAAAGGTAGGGGTGGAGATGATGTCTAGCATTTGTAAATGTATGGGTGGAGATGATATCTAACATGTGTAAATGTATGGGTGGAGATGATGTCTAGCATTTGTAAATGTATGGGTGGAGATGATGTCTAGCATGTGTAAATATATGGGTGGAGATGATGTCTAGCATGTGTAAATATATGGGTGGAGATGATGTCTAGCATGTGTAAATGTATGGGTGGAGATGATAAAGGGTTAAATGGTACTTGCATAATTCAGTCCATTATAGGCAAAAGATGAGTTAAGCTTAGTTCATGCTTACTGTTGGATGTAATGTTTTCTTCGTGTCTCTTGATGAAAGCCTCTTCAGATTTATTGATAACATTTTATTGTAAAAAAGTTAATTTTTGAAAAAAACAGAACTCTCTTGATGAAAGCCTCTTCAGATTTATTGATAACATTTTATTGTAAAAAAGTTAATTTTTGAAAAAAACAGAACAAAAATGTGAGTTCACATTTTTTCAGACTGTATAATAGAATACTGATGAGTGAGTAATTGTTCTTCAGAATAAGGACTTGTACATTTGTGTGCATACACTTAAATTAGCCTTTCTTTTTTGTATGTTTTAGTATTTTTGATGCCATGAGAATAATGTTAAATGTCACATAACTAAGGACCAAAAATTATTTTTTTTACAATAAGTAACGCTTCATTATGATAAGATTCCACTTGCATCTGAGATTTATTTCTCTAAAGTGAAAAAGAAAAAAGAATTCTAATTACGATCATAGATATAATAAACTAGGAACCTTTTTTGATAATTCAAAGCAGTTAGTTCAAGTTATATGATAACTTATTGTGAGCATTAAAAATAAAAAACTGTTCTTATTGATATGAAGTGGGGCATTTGGCTTAACTTTTTTTTAAATGAATTAAAATAGTGGTTACAGAAACAGGCTACAGCTCGTCAATCAATAGAGATTGAATGTGCAGACTTGTCACCTGAGGAAAGAAATCCACAATGGCTTAAGGAGAAAGGAGAGTGAGTGTAAATTTACTCCATCACATTCTTGTTTAAAAAAAGCGATTATTGGGGGATCTGTCCAGGTTTTTAAGTTAGAAGTTGTCAAATTGTAACTTTTATTAGTATTTTGCTAATAGTATAACTTATAACTCATGGCTGTTTTTGTGACCTCAAATTGAAACCTTTAGAACCTATTTTCTATGTAATTATTGACTTAAATTAATGAGTCTACTGTAATATGCACATATTATTCGGAAAACAACTGAACTTGTTTTAGCTTTTTAAATGTTACTAAAAATCCTTAGATAATAGTTTATTGTTTAACACATAATTCTGTAGTTCCAAATATGGTCTGTTAGAAAACTGATGAAGAAACCAAAACCTTATAAACTATGAATTGTATTACTTATTTAGTTTTGCTTATATTATTTACAATAATTTTACATAGACTGTTCCTAATATGGATACTATCTTTATTTTTGTAGCACCTTTTATTCCAATGGTGATTTCCATGGGGCAATTAATGCTTATACCTTAGCTGTAAAGATGTGTCCAAACTTACCAAGGTATATGCTATTTTACGCCTAATTCAATAATATCTATTTATAAAAAACTTAGAGATAAAACATCTATGTATAGTTTTACAGTTATCTGTTGACTAGATAAAGTATTCTCATACTAGTGTTAAGTACTGTGTTTCTCTAAATGCAGTAAATTATTTTTAAATATAACAAATCTAATCTGTTTTGCGGAAAGTTAACTTCCTATTTATTTTTGTTTTTTAGGAAATTATCAGTAGAACTTAAAAAAACAGAAGAGAGAAAACAATGTGAATTTTGGTTTATCTGAAGTTTATCAAAATCATTATTACCTTTGAAGAAACATTTACCAAAAACTTGTGATATTGATACTGAAAAATATGACTCGTTTGTTTGATACCACATGATTTTATATCATTCTTTACCTAATGTGACTATATTTTGCAAACCAAATGTGGGGATAAAAATTTGTAACTTTAATTGCCATAATTCTAGATGTAACCACCACTTACTCGACAATGACATCTTTGCTAACAGTTAACTCAAATACACACTGAATCTCATACTTTGATAGCACTACATCACATTACAAAAAAGAAGAGGATGAATGATTGTATAACACATTTAAGGTCGTAGCTATGACGATTGCATTAATGTCATCACGTAATACTGTTATACCTTAGCTAATAATGATAATAATAATAACAAAAAGTGGCTAAATTTTTATTTTTAATGTATATCTGATGTAGATATCATAATGTAAGAAATGAAACGTAAGGGTATTTTGGAGTGATTTTTTTTCAAATTGGGGACACTTATCAGAGATATTTTTTTTCCTAGGAACAAAATTCGTCACCTTGGTACTGTCCTTGAAAATCTGGGATGTATGGTCATCCTAACTTTATCATGGCCTATTATAGGTTATTAAAAATGTAGAATATTATAATATATTCTTAACAAATAAACGTTTATGGTTGCATTAACCATCTATCAACAGTCTTCTGCAACTTGCAAGAGCCTGACCAGGAAATCATCAACATATACAGTGCAATGAAATGTTTAAAATTAAGAAATAGGAAAATGTACATACATTTTTAATTTTTGTAGAATATCTTTGCTATCTCAGGTCTCTTACTTTTCTCATATATTTAATTTTTAATGTTTTATTTTCCTTTCCTGTCCTTTACTGTTTAGTATTCATCTTGACACAAATCAACAATGCTTTCAAGACATATTACAGTATCTTTAGCAGAGATGTGCAAGCCTTTGGAAAAATTATCTTACACTTGCATAAGATTTTAAGCCTTGAGAACTGGAGCAATGTTTGAGATAGATTTAAAAACTGTTTAAACCTTTCAATTGTGCATTTTAAAACATAAATAATAGATAATTAACTAAGATATGTAAGTAAAACCTAAATGCAATTTAACTGTCTCTCCAACTATAATATATTTACGTATGAAACAATCATAAGTGCTAATGTGGACAAAGAAACCAACAATACTACTGGCAGTTACATATACCCATTGACGACAACTGATCACCAATTTCAAAATAACTATTATTGGATTATTAGTGTAAAATGGGCTCTTTCTAACGACTATATACACGTGTGTCAATTAATTACACGTGACTTGTAAAGCTCAAGGAATAGTACAGAAGGTGTGTGTGGCACCTATTAGAGGTTGAAAAAATTTATCTCTAGTTTCATTGGAACTCAGCCAAAGAACTTTGGAACATATGTGTCAATAGGGCAAGTAAATATACTTATTGTCTAGAAATACATCTATAGGACTGGGGTTATATGATCCATGATAGCAAGTGTGAAAGTTGATATTTTCATAGCTCATGGGCTGCACAACAACAAAACTGAAGATTAATTATTTTTTTAAAGGTTTCTTTTGAAATAAAGGAAATAAAACTTAGATAACATAAAACTTTGAATTATAATGTTAATTTCATTAACAGTAAAGTTGTTTAGTTAAATTTTGAATGTAACTCACTGACTTGCATAGAAAGGGATTTAAAGGGGTACCTGTTGCGAAAAGGTTAATGAGAAGTAATAAAGTTAAATAACTGCATTACATTAAAATGTTAATCTATGCCTGTAATGCAATTAATTTCCTAACTAAAATGTTAATCTATGCCTGTAATGCAATTAATTTCCTAACTGCCAATCAATTTCATTTAAGAGGATTTCAGGCATAGAGAGGTATATTTATGAGTTATTTACCAAATATATTAAAAAAATTACTAGAAAAATGTGTAATCATTGATATATTTGTAATATTACTTTCCGATTAATCAAATGTATCTTCATTGTTCATACAAACATACAAATAATTTATTAACAATGGACTATTTCTCTAAGGTACAGTTACAATTCAAACGTGTATATATATGTATATACACAACCACATACACATATTTTTTTGAACAAGTTTGTTACTATCGTTTTCCAGCTTGTACTCAAATCGTGCAGCATGTCATCTTCAGCTAAGAAATCTCCATAAAGCTATAGAAGACAGTTCAAAGGTAAAGTTTTTAATATGAGTAAAAATAATGATAAAAAAATTATTCCAGTGATTAATATCCACTATATTAAGAATAAAATTCAGATAATCATAGTTTATTTCTGTTTTCTTGTTACTTTATTCTATTTCCTTGGCTATCCATAAATTATATTTTGGTAATTTATGAAAAATAAATCAACATATTTTGTAATCTAAATAATCGTATTTCATCCAGTCTCTTTCAATAAGATTATTCTAAGAACATCAGTTGAAGCATATATGTAAAAATAATGCAAGTTTTTAGGCTTACAAGTAAATCATTGCATAAAATAACAAATATTAGTAATTAACTTCAAAGAATCAATGGCTCATGAGATTATTTTCTAGCTACTAAAAACTATACATAGAATATCCTTTTTAATGAAAAGTTTTATAACGATTACTTGTATAATCACAAAACAAAATGAAAATACTATTTAAAACCTGAAGATTCCTATTGCATTTAAGAACTTAATTAAATTACTAATTATGAAGCAAAAGTACCTTGATTTAGGGCAGCTAATAATTTTTGAAATAGTTGTAAATTTTCAGAGAGAAGTTTCTTTAATTCAAATATATCACCTTCAGTGGAATATTGATATCTCCATTTAACTGTCATCTAGTGTGTGTCTGATATACAGATTTGCAGCATTATACTTGTGTGCACTGTCTTTCATGAAGGAACTAGGTTATTATAGTTAGTTATTTATCAGTGTTATTTTTGCAGGCTTTAGATTTGTTGACCCCTCCTGTAGAAGATAATGCATTAGCTCGTCTCCATTGCCACGTTCGACGGGGAACTGCCTTCTGTAACTTGGAATTATACATTGAAGGTACCGTAAACATCTTTATTATTATGTTTCAAAGGCAGTTTTGATTTTTAAAAATGTGACAGTAGTGTAAGGTTAATTACAACAATATTTGCATGTGAACAATGTTGTTATTTTTGTTATAGAAAATACATTGTTGCTGATTATGTTTTATTTAGCACTTCAAGATTATGAGGCAGCTCAAAGGATTTCTCCCACTAACGAAGAACTTCGTTTAGACACAGAAAAAATTAGACACCTAGTGCAGGGTTTGATTTGATGATAAAGATATATGTTTTACTGGTGTGCGAGATAAAAGTAAAGGTCTGCCATGAATTGGTATTATTTAAGGAACAGATAAAAGATACTAGTTGTAAAACTTCTCGTGACAAGCTCCATTTTTAATAGTAAAGATATATAAGAACTTAATTTCAAGTTTGACATATTTTAAAATACAGACACTTCAATAATATAGTTATGTACTCGGGAAGTAATATTTTGGGAATTTATGAGAATTAAATTAACATATTATGTAATTTAAATGATCATATTTCATCCATTAATTTCTTAAATATTTTAAGTGCCAATTTCAGGAGAACTTAATTTAGTGGTCATTTTTTTTTTCGTGGTTTTTTTGGAAGGTAATTATAAATACTCCATTATTATGAAATGTTTATCTAAATATATATTTTAAATTATAATCAATCTTAACTTACATTAATTGTAAAAAACAGTATTTAGAACTACAAAAAAATTGTTTCATTTATGTTGATTTCATTGCTTATAGTAATTAAAAGATGCTACTTTGTTTTTATTTGCAGTTCAGTGTCTGTAAATTTTCATGGATTAATACACAAAAACACTAATTTAAGGGAAGTTTTGAATGTAACAGAAGAATGCACTAACCTACCTGATTTTTGCAAAATAATAAAAATTATTAAAAGTATTTAGTTTCAGAATGTAAAATCAACTTCTAAGTTTATTCATTTATGTTTAGCAAATTCATAATTATCTTCAAAATTTGTTAAGATAGCATTTGTTTCAACTGGTGTTCTTAGTACAATCTTACTGACAAAAGCCTGGATAAGAGTGATGAGCATTTCCACATAATATTTCATCTAGTTACTTAATAATTAGATATACAACTCCAATGATTATTACGAACATGTATTGGAGGCCTTGTTAAGTTACAAAGAACATTTATTATAATACTAAACATGTCGTATAAAAATAATGCAAGATTTTAGGCTTACAAGAAACATTGCATATAATAATAAATATTGGTAATCAATTTCAAAGATTTGACAGCTAAAATTCGAATAAGATCATTTTTTAGCAACAAAAATCTATACATGGAATCTCCTTTTAATGTAAAAGTTTTAACAAAATAAGTACATTTTCTTTCTTTTTTTTTTGTCTTCCATCTTAGGTTGCCAGTATTTTGATGTTATTACTTTTTAAAGTGTTTGTTATATTACTTTTAATGTTTGAGAGGTAATTCCAAAATTTATTTAATTCTTAGTTCTTCTTTCTCTGCTATTAAGTCATTTTATGGCAAGTTACAATGTCGAACATTTAATAATTTAGTTAATTAAAATTATGAATTTATCAGTTATAAAGTTAACACTTTTTATGACAATATATAACAGCATAACTTGTTATTTTCAATTCTATTTAGTTGCACCACTGTATATGTTATCTGTGTATCAGCTTTAAAGAAAAGTACAGTATTGAATAAACATTTCTATTTGTTGGCTACTAAGTGAATTAGACAATTTTCATATAAAACATATTGTTACGACAGCGGAAGTCACGTGACGCTGGAAGCATGTGAGCTGGAGTTTCTAGAAGGATCATGACTGTTCCTGGCAACTCTAATCTTTTCTAGGTGCCCTCTATTTTAGTATATAAGTCTGGCAAATAAAGCGGTGATATAATTGCAAATAGACAGATATAAGAGATAGATAATTGAGTCAAGCGAGCTTTAGGTACCGTAAGTAAAGTGCGTGAATCATTGTGAATTGTAGCGTGTGTTTATAAAAGTAGTTAACTTCAAAGTGACTGTGGAAATTAAGTGTAGTACAAAGTTTGTAGTGAGAAAGAATAAACTAGTTTTAATTAAGAAAGAACTTGTATCACAGAAGTTTCTCGGAAAGAAATTTTACGGGAAATTATCAAACAAGCAGAGACGCAACAATATATAATAATGGCCTTAATCCTATAAGTATAAAATCAGTCAAGTTTGACCAAACCCGTATTCAGGCAAATATGCTTTTCTCAACATTTGACAAGCTTTTAGTGAGCATTAAAAGTCTGTCATTTACAAAAGAGAGATTGTTTAAATAAATATTTCTATTAAAAATTTGTATGTGAATTTCCAAAACTTTATTGCTAGTCTGAGTGTAAAGTGATTTTTGTGCTATGAATAAAAATAAAATTTGATGACAAGAAACCTTCTTTAAAACAATAAAGTTTGAAGGTGACTTGAATGTTTAATGAAGGAAACTTTATTAAAAGTATAACATAGTAACAAGCGTACAACATTTCAACAAAGTTTTCCTTCTTATATATTCAAGCCATCTCCAAGCTTTATTAAGAATAAAAATACTTCTCTTCATCTCACAGTTTTTCATATTTGATTTTGATTATCTCTGAAACCTACTAAATGAATATCAAAAATACTGTTGGTAAAACTTTATATTTTGTTTTATTTTCTGTACTCTAAAACTAACTGTAGGGAAATCATTAATGTACAGTGAAATTAAAAGATGAAAAATGTGAAGAAAAATTAGTAATACCATTTTTATTCCTGCACTGCATAATAAAAGTTTAAACTATTATGTTTTCCCATCTGTTTTTTTTTAATTTTATGGTTTTGTTGCTGTACTTTGTGCCCACTGGAGCAGTAATCCTACTGTCAAAAGCAATAAATCACAGCAGCAAAGCATTAGCTGTTACCAGTAGACCCATCACAAACAGTTTGTGAAATTTTGGATGCTGTATTTTACTAAAGTTGTGTTAGGCTAAGCTGAGAAGTTTCTAATTTTTACACTTTAATTAATTTTCTTAAAAAATATACATATATATATTTATCATTAAATAAAAACTATACATAAAAAAAGGTTTGTTGTACTCACTGCATACCCAAGTTCATTTTCACTCAAGTGAAAATCAATGATGTTCTTCCCTAAGCCTCACTGAGTCTTACAAATTTTAAAAATTTGTCCAAAAAAGAATTCATGTATATTTCAAATATGCATTTTAGAACATAAAAAAACAACAAGTTATTAGAATAAAATATCTCAAAACTACTTCAACTTATACAGCTTTCTAAGGAAGCTATAAATAAGTTAAAAAATTCGATTATGTGTTTGGAACACAAATATCAAGAAAATATGACAGACTATTATACGGGCAAAATAAAAAAACTGTAATGAGTCTTTTGTGGAGGAACATCTGTTCTTCCTATTGATTATAAATATGTCTATCAGCCATGTATAGTTGATTAATAAAGCAATCCTGAAACCTAAATAGGGGGAAGAGGAATTTCTGGTTTGTTTTATATCTCAGTAAATCAATAAGGTACAAGGTGCAAATTTTAGATTATTGCATGTAATTATGTTCAGTTTGTGGTTGTGACATAGAAAAATGAAAATAGAGGTCTTTAGATTTTAAAACTTATATAATATAAAAAAATTAAATTATAAACTATAATTGTATACCAAAGTTATTGCTACATTGATGATAAAGTAGTTTCATTACTTTTTGAATGTAATGCTATAGAAAGTTGTAACATGCATTTTGACCTGCTTGAAGCAAAGGTTGTAGTGAAAGAATTACATAGTTTTAAGGAATTATGTTTCATAAGATTAAATGTGTGTATTTTTAATTTAAACTTTTGTTCAGGTAGAAGCAGTAAAATTTAACTCAACTTTATCAAATCCCTCATTAACTATTTTATATATGTTTAAGTAAGGCGTCAAGTAATTTTAAATTTGATTTTGGAACATAATTTACTGTTATTAAAGTAATGTAAGTATATATAGTGTCCTTATTACAAAATATAGTATATAAACAAACACGTGGAATTAACCTTTAATAATTTGTTATTCCTTTACTGTCATGATTCCTTCTTAAGTTTAGGATGTTAAGATAGGTTTCAGTGCGACTTATTCACAGACACGTTCGCTTTCTTTGTTTCTAGATACTATGGTTTCTTCTCAACTTTAGGCTATCAAAGTAGGTTTTGGTGTGACTTATTCACAGACACGTTCCCTGTATATATTTCTAGATACTGTAGTTCCTTCTCAAGTTTAGGCTGTCAAGATAGGTTTTGGTGTGACTTATTCACAGGCATATTTCCTATTTGTTTGTAGACACTGTGATTTCTTCTCAAGTTTAGGTTGTCAAGATTGGTTTTGGTGTGACTTATTCACAGGCATGTTCATCTCCAAGTCTAGACAGAAGATTGGAACAGTCCATATGAAAATTATCAACATGTCAACACACTGCTTTAAGCTTTCTTTAAAAGAAGTATAAATTCATTTTCGAGTAAGATGAAATCGGCCAAGTCTATTTCATTTCACAAAGTATGAAGAATTTAGGGCTTCCATCTGGATCTAATACAGCTTCTTTAACATCAAGTGTTATGACACTGTACTGCAATTTTCACAAAACCATCATCAAGTTCTGCTATCCTTAACTGGAAGGGTAGGAACCAAAAGGCATACACTAAGCATCTACTCTTTCACCGAAATATAATTTATTTTCAGTGGTGTCATACTTTCAAGCATAGTCTCTGATGACTTTGTTTTGTCAAATCTGTACGTTTGTCACATTTAAAGTAAAAACACTAAGTGATGTTGAAATATAAGTGTTAGTGGTTTTTCAATTATTATAAACATAATAGTCAAGCATGGAGAAGATACATTAAATAGCAGAAAATAAAGTTGGTGTCATATTTAATTTTTTCAGAAACTTCCTATGAAAATGCTAAATTTAAACTAATTTAAGTAATTTATTTGCTCAACTTCTAATCGACTATTTAAATATGACATTATTCAGCACAGGAGTTATTTCTGCAGACCACGGAATCGTATCAATCAAATCAACATAGACTGGTCAATACACTTTCATTTCTTGGACAGATGAAGAGTAACTAAAGTGAAAGAGTTTTCAGTGACAACAACTGTTCTTGTAAAACCTCAATGGGGCCAACTAATTTTGATGCTTGTTGGACTTTTGCTCTCACCTTTAAAATCATGTTTTTGTTTTGTTTATACAGCATTTGTACATCAAATGTTTATACTCTTATTCTATAAGTACAGACCTGCCAATATTAAAGTTTTAAAAATAGTAATCCCTATAGTACAAGAAAAAAAAAGCAAAATATATAAATGGAAATGGTGTCACTACTATACTAATTACGTTTTATTTAATACTAATTACATTGTACTACTGGTCAAGAGCTCTGTAAGTAGTACTCTTGGCTTTCTTTAGGAAATCATATGTAAATCCTTGGGAGAAACATGATTTTTGTGCCATCTCCATTTTCCTTATCAGCATTGATTCTACTGCTTACCTGCTTTTTTTAACATACTATTTCAAGCATTTGTAAGATTGAGATGCAAAGAGGAAAGAAGTGAATTATTTCTGGAAAATTGTTAGAAGAAAAAGGGGTCGGAGAAAAAATTCTGGAAATTCACATAAAATTGTAAAATAGCACAACAATTCGTACAGGCATAAAATGTAAAAAAAAAGGGAACAATTATGCCTAAAAGAGTTGGCAGGCCTGTAAAAGGGTTGGGTATGGTCTATTGGTTGGTCTATCAGACTGTGGATTGAAAGGCTTGAAATGCAAGATGTAATGTTGATGAACACACTTAGCACTTTCAGCTGTGGGCATGTTCTCTAAATACAAGAGAATCCCTTTATTTGGTTCAAAAAAGCCAAATAAAGCTCTTATAAGAGCAAGTGATGCTGGCTGCCTTTCATAAGGGACCACTTGAACATAAGAGGTGTTGGATTGACATGACA